TCTTAATTTATGGGCATCATTTTAAAATTAAAAATCAAGCATGTTGAGTTTTCTTGCCTTTTTTTTCCTTTTTTATAGTGAAAAGACTGAAACAGCCATATTTTGAAAATTTCAAGTATGCTACTAAGATTCTTCAAAGTATTTTGCTTATGTTCGACATATATAATTTATTAATTGTTTTTAAGAATCCATCTCTCTTCTTGTGTGTGTGTGTGAGAGAGAGAGAGAGAGAGAGATTAGAGATTTGTTATGTAACTGATTAGACCTGTTGTTTAGCTTAAAGGAAAGCATAATCATATGCTTTCGATTCCTTTAAGGATTTATATTTCGTTTGATATATTAACATGTAAGCCCCATATTTGAGTTTTCTCAACAACAACAAAGAAAAAAAAAATAATCATGTTTATGCATTAAAATTGTAGAAATGAAGTACATGAATTGATGAGAAGGTTTATGTAATTTTGGTTAAGTTTGGCCTCATTAAATAGCTCCTAATTGATTAATGTATATTTATTTATAAAATTACTATTGTAATTCATTTATATATTGCTAAATGAAATATTTCTCATAAAAAACATAGTTGATAGTTTAGTCAAATATTAAATATTAATTATTATTTTTAAAAATGATGCAGAGTATATTTTTATTATATAATTTTAATCTAATATATCTTAACATACTAAATTTAAAAAATTCAAAATTTATTAAATGATTTTATTTAAATTTTTTAGCAATTCCACTTATTGCATGTGATGATATAATTTTAAAGGCAAACGTTCTATGATATCGGGCTGTCAAATCAAAAGAAAATCTTTCCTAAATTGTGGGAAATGCCGGTCTGCCTCAAACCCAATCATGGCATCTAAACTAGTTAAGGAGTACAAAGCATCTACGCTTGCTTTCTTATGTAGGCTTAAATAAACTAGCCTATGTGGCTATGTACTTCTATCTATAAAGAGAAAAGCTATCATTGCTGTGATGCTTAAATTTTTTTATTTTAATGATGAGCATTAAAGTGTAATATATATCTTGAAACTGTGATCTTAAATGAATGATTCTCCTATAATCAATAAGTCACTCATGTGAATTCATTTTCTTATGATGTTCATGCTAATGAAAAGCAAAGAAATTACTTATTTCAAGGATTTCTTTTAAATTACGAGTTGAGTACTATTGAATTACTTATCATAGAATGCCCGTAACTCTTTTTGGTTTGTTGATTGAGAATTTTTATTGACAACTAAAAGATTTTGGTTCGGATCTTACGTATCTGATGTGTGTAGGGGTGTCAATTTCGGGTCATGGGTCGGGTTCGGGTCGAACCCGAAACTGACCCGGCACTATTCGGGTCAACTCGAACCCGACTTGTTTTTAAAAACGGGTCAGTTTTCCGGACCCGAACCCGACCCGCTTCGGGTCCGGGTCAACCCGACACGACCCGATTCCAACTAAAAAATGGCTAATTTTTGGGTCAAAAACGGGTCAATATCCTCTTTTCGGGTAAAAAACGTGTCAATCTCGGGTTGTCGGGTCAAAATCAGGTTTTCGGGTTAAAATCGGATCACTTTCGGGTCAATTTCGGGTTAAAGGGTTAACCCGAACCCGACCCGTTTCAGGTTCGGGTTGACCCTAACCCGAAATTTTTGAGTCGGATTTTCGGGTCGTGTCAAATATTGACACCCCTAGATGTGTGTATAAATTTGTCATAGTTGACCTAAATGTTAAAAAAAAAAAAACCTTATAATAGATTTTTTTTTTAAACCTTATAATAGATTTTTTTTTTTTTTTGTTATTAAAACTCACATAGGGGTTTACATGTTAATTAAAAAAGAGGATTACATGTCCTTAAAGAATCATCAGCTCCCTAAAAATACAATATTTAATATAAAATCTATGAGTCGTTAATTCAATCAATTACATAAAATAAACAAAAAGAAAAGGAGCAAGACAAACCATCGAGAGGACTCATAAAAAGCAACTGAAAAAGCCACAACAACTAGCCATCCAAAAATGCCTCCAGCAGACAGAAATCACCCACAAAGCCACAAAGAAAATAACAATACGTACATAAAAATAGAAGGCCAAGGGAGGAAAATCACAGCAAATTAACCACCAGAGCAATCAAACCCACAACTTATTATTATATGACTAGTATAGGAAGTGAAATTATCATAAACCTCTTTTGGACAATGTTATGCATCATAATTTTTTTTATGTTAATCAGAACAATATGGATAAAAGTAGAAAAGAGAGCCTGATGCATTGACCCTCTCATTTTCGTCCATCACTATACTGTTTACATCTCCTTCCATTTCTCTCGTATCATTTACTGAATAATATCTAAGTAATATTTTCTTCTCTTGTCTGTAATACACAATTGGAATACGAGATATGCACAAAATCACGAACATTTCAACATCGTGTACGTTATCTGTAGATTTTTCATAAAAATAACTTGTATATTTTCCAAGGAAAAGAAGAAATATCAATGAGCTTTATAAGAGGTTCCTGTTCATTTTCTAAGTATGTTTATTTTTCTTATTGTCTTATTATTTTTGCTTGAAACCCGTACATTCCACAGGATTATTATTTCTAGAATAGAAACACCTACTCGTCATTGGTTCCAATTCACAAACTCTCTCCTTCTTCCTGCTCTCTTTTGTTTCTACGGTTTCTATCCTAACCTGCTTCTTCTTCCTCCTCTGATTCTCCTCTACTTATGGATCTGTCTTCTTCAAGTGAGAAGCTGTGTTATGTTCACTGTTCACACTGCAACATTGTTCTTGCGGTAATGATCTGCCATTTGCTTTTAGCGTACTGAAATCCATTAGAAGGAAATTAAAATAGCCATTATGGTTCTTTTTTATATTCCTAGTTGCATATATATGTTATATATACAGATAGAGAGAGAAAGGGAGTTCTTTACTTTTAAAGTGAGAGAGAGAGAGAGAGAGAGAGAGAGAGAGAGAGAGAAGAGTGTGTACATTTTAAAATACTTATTGTTGTGTTTGGTATTGCAGGTTGAAGTTCCATGCAGTAGAATGATGGAGACTGTTACAGTGAAGTGTGGGCACTGCAACAATATCTCCTACATTAGCCCTGAACCTAAACCTAATTCTCAATACTTTGACTATCAAATGGTTAGATTTTCCTCTATTGTTTCCTACATCTTCTTCTCAGGCTATCTAATTTATTAATTATAATAGATATAGATATGTAGAATTTGTTTATATTGATCGAAATCATTAAATATATTTTTTTGCTTTTTTGAAAAAAAAAACTATTTATTAAAAATTTTCTGCATTGTAATCAAACCAAATAGTCTTGAATTAAGCTTTAAATTTACCTAAGAAATTCTCATTTGATAACTTTTTCTATTTAGTCTGAATTTACTAAGCCAAGTTTTAAAACTTTGAATCAGGATTTCACTATGGGACAGCAATCGGATGCTTCTTCATCAACTTCTATTGAACAAAAACCTGAAGCTCCTCCGGTTGCAAAACGTATTTAATTATTATAATTTCATTCTTTAAGGTCACTGATCATTCACTTTATAGTTATCTTTCTGAATGGCTTATTGCATTTTCCATCGATCCATTTGATGGATAATGGCAGCTCCAAAGAAGAAGCAGAAGCAACCAACTGCTTACAATGTCTTCGTGAGGTACACAGAAAAGAAAAAAAGATTGCCTAAAACATTCCTTTTTTCTATAATTTCAATTGCATTCAAATTTCTCTATAGTAAAGCTTTATAGAAAATAATCTGGAGAAAGTAAATTTATATATCAATAAAAAACGAGATTGAAGATGATTAAGAAAGATTAGCAGTTAATTACAAGAAATTAAGCTACCTATATGTATAATTAAGCATGCTTTTGTTTTGTTTAATCCCCAACCACTTGATCATGAATTTAATAAATTTTGACAATAAAAAAGTTTTTCAACTTGAAGAAACCAATATTGGTCCTTAATTTAAAGACTCGAGGATAACATGCAATAAATCAAATCTACTATATTATTGAAATTTAATTTTTAGGTATAGTCACATTCTTAGATAGTTTAACTAATTACTAATTTAAAATTAGTCATTTTTTTAATAAGTATGATTAAAATATCTTTTACCAAACCTTTTTAAATTTATCAGATTTCTCTTAAATTATCAGTAATTTTGTTTTCTGATTAGGTATGTTTATGACTAAAAATAACTATATATTTAAATATACTTTTTAACAAATAGAAGTAATCAAACTTTAATATTTCTTATACATTTATGAGATAAAAACACATAGTTAATGATATTGGTTTTTATTATATCAAAAAGAAATGTCAAGTAAAATGAAATAAAATGTAAATTACTTTTTTTTTTTTAATAAATGCTTGTGATTATTATTTTTTATTGAAGTAAAATGAATGTAACGTAAAGCCTAACCATGATCGTACGTTCGACAATGAGCAATGCTGGTAAGTGGTGGCTGATGGTAGCAGTTGGTAGTGGTCGACAATGGGTGTGGTGGGTAGCGGTGGCAACAATCGACACCAACAATAGAGAACTCAAAATAATTATTGAAAATCAACCAAATTTAACAATTTTTAAATACATCAAAATTGAACTAGATGATGAATTTCAAATACTATAAAATTTTATTATGTATTCCTTTTACGTAAGACCGAGAGACTGATATTTTTAAAACCCTTATATTTGGAATACTTTACGTACGCGCCTTTTACTTCAAACCAAACAGCTAGTCTAAGTAAAACAAAGTAACAATTACAAATCATTTGCTACATATTCTCAATTAATGACATATAATTGCATCATTAAATCCCAGTCGTTCATGGCGAGTGTGAAGTTTGTTTATATATAAGGGAAATTAATTAAATTGTCTTAAATCTTAATCACCATTTAAACATCTCTTTAATAGCTAAGAGCTAAATAAATAATGAATTAAAAAACTTCAATTTCTTATATCATATGTATAAATTTTTTTTACATAGAAATGTACATCAATAATTTAAACTTGCTTGAATATAGGCAGGAGATACAGCGAATAAAAGCTGAAATGCCAGAGATTACACATACAGAGGCCTTCAGCATGGCATCAAAGAATGTACGTATGGTTCTCCATTGCATCTTAATTTCTTCTTTTTCTACTACATCATCATGAAAAATAGAGCTTTCATGCGACTTGCTTGACTAATGATATACTAAACTTTATAATATTGCAGTGGGCAAGGTATGGTGGTCCTTTAAATTATGGTTTAAACCCTTTGAATACAATTTCTGACGATAATGAATCAGTGGAATCAGTCTCAATCAAACATGTAAGTGTCCAATTAATTTATTTTTAAAAGATTAATAGCTTTAATCCAGTTATCATACTTTTTATATCCTTCTTAATTGTTGATCGAGAAATAGTCTAAACTATCTCTTATTTTAAATTATATTGTAACATTTAATTAGTTGAAGCTTACTTTAAATTTCAATTATTTTGATATTTATTGTGCTTTTTTGGATAATCATGTATTTAAATGTTAAACCTGTGTGCTAATGGTGCATGCAGGAAAGTGGAAATGGCTCTGCTGAGGAAAGCTATGGTGGTTTCAGACAAATGAAGCGCCACGACTAATTTGTTTTTTTTTTCTCAGTGACTTGTGTGGTTTATATATATTAATCACGGTTATGTTGTCCTTAAACTATAATTAGTTTTATGCAATTATAAAGCCTTTGAATCCAGGCTGTGAAAAAGGCTTTGCTCATTTAAGTGGAAGGCAGAGCAGAATATTCAATGGGGTGGTCAATGTAATATTTTCTTTTGGCAGGACAAGTGAATTGGGCCTTATTCTATTGATAGCTATTTAAGCTCTCATACTTTTGCCTCTATAAAGGTGAATAATTTCATTGAGAATGATGATTGGAATGCTTACAAATCATTAGAGTTTAATCTTGATAATTTAGTTGATATTATATTAAGGACTCCTTTACAATTATATAGTAAAGATCATATTTTATTTAAGTTGTCTACTAATGGTAATTTCACACTTGTGTGAAATAAGGTTAGAACCATTCATGATAAATCCCTTCTTTTTGATGCATAAGAATATTCCTCTTTCCTAGACTATTTTAGTTTGGAGAGTTATCCATAACCTGTGCTACCTATTGATGTTTTGTTGTTGAATAAATGTTTTTATATCCCTTTGAAATGCCAATGATGTTTCAATATTGAAACTATTGATCAAGTATTTGTTAATGGAGCCATTGCTTCTAAAGTTTGGAGGTATTACATTGATATGTTTAACATTGATTTCTTCAGTTACAATAGTAATGTTTCCTCTATCTTACTTTCTTGATTTTCTCCTACCAAAAGTCATATTAAAAATATGGTTTCCATGCTTATTATGTGTTCCTTTGGATGGAAAAGAATGGCTCTAAACATAGAGACATTATAATGGATTATAGATGTATTATTGCTAAAGTGAAGCGAAAGATAAAATCCCATAACTTCATTCTCTGAACCTCATTTTTACTAGAAATTTTTATAATTGTAAAAATTCTGCTCATAATTTTGGTATTTCCATTGACGCTCAGGTTGAGGATATGATGGATAAGATTGTTAAGTGGTTTAAGCCTTCCTCTCCTTTTTGTTCTATTTTCCCATTGTAATGTGATTACTATGAAACTCAAGGCTTTTTCCTATGATCTCAACTTGTGTATTCCTTAGATATTTCTTATACTTGTTTGGAGGTTGATATTATGATTTTATTCATATTATCAATGGCTCTAATGCAGGCAATACTGAGAATTTCAATCTCATCGGAGAGATTAAGCAATGCTTGAATAATTTTAATTTCTCTCTTTACCACTTTTTTCGTGAAGCAAATTCTTGTGCTGATTGGCTTAGCAAATTTGGCTGCCAATTAGATTTTTTTAAGGAATTTTCTGGAGTGGCTTAACCTCGTTGTTAAGAGGGCTTGCTAGGTTTGACATTGCTTGTTTACCCTATATGAGAATCCAATGATGTTTTTTGTTTCTGCTTTGTTCTGTTTGTTGCATTGTTAATTTTTGTTGTTGGTTGATGTTGTGAGACCTCGTTCCCTTACTGTTCCTCTCTGACTTGGATTTTCCTCCCAGGATCAGCCGAGACGATAGTGAGATCGTCCAGGCCGACCAGTGTATTGAAAACGACTGTTTTCTGGATCGTCCCGAGGACCGCCCTGGGAACCGTCCAGGCCGATGAATTTTGGTCTGATCGTCCCAGGACGATCTCGCGATCGGACGGGCCGATCGGCTTTATGATATAAGAAAATCAGCTCGTTTTGAAGAGAGAGAAAATCATTTTAAAACAAAATATCTGATTTGAGGAGAGAGAAAGAGAAAGGAAAAGAGGAAAAACTTGGTTTCGAAGGCCGCGGAGCGCTTTTCGTCCGACGTCGCTGTTGGAGAAAGTGAAGATCTCGTGGTAAGGACTCCGAATCCTATTTCTGCTTTCAGAGATATTGTGTTTTGACCGAGTTGTGCTCTGTTTTGTGTTTTCGTAGTCGAACTTTTGACCTGATTTGGTATTGACACAACTTTCACCGCACAACTTTTGGTATGTTATAGATATGACTATTGTACACGATTTGAGTATTTTCTGCGACGATTTTACCGGTCGGAACTGCTTTGTTCTGTTTGCTGCGTTGTTAATTTTTGTTGTTGGTTGATGTTGTCTTGCGATTCCTCTATACAGATTGTTGTTCCTTGGATGCTTTATGATTTCTGCTTGCTGTGGGGATCACTACTTTTTTTTTTGAGTGGCTAGTTTATTTAACACTTTATGGTGTAATATCTATATGAGGATTTGGATGATTGATGTCACCTCTTTGTTATGTGAGTTTTGGTTTGTTAACGACTTTTGTCTAGTGTTCCATTAATTGTGCCCTTTCTATTTTATGGCTGTTCCTTTTTCCTTTTTGTGGAATTCATAAACTTGGGGAATTTGGCGGCGTGGAGGAGTTGGCATTCTTTGGTGTATTATATGGGGGTGTGGAATTGGCTGGCTGTGTTTAACTTGGGGAATTTGGTGGCCATCAAGATGCACGGTCACAGTCTCAATGAATGCTTTAAATTTCATCTCGGTTAGCTGTTGGTACCGGTGGGTTTTTAATGCCTTTAATGTTTTCTAGTGTAATATTTTTTGTTGGTTTTTTTATGGGCTTTTTGCTGCTTGTGCAGGTTTTTTGTGCTGGTAGAAGAGATTACTGGATTTTTGCTGGGAAGCAGTTCGTGATGGATAGGATTTCTTTTCTTCCCTCTTTTTGGGTGCTCGTTCTTAAACTCTGTAGAATGTACCTAGGTTGTGATGTACTTTTTTGTAGTAATGGACCTTGTGCTCGTAGATTTTTTTATATTTAATTTTGTAGCTCTTATGAGCAGTAGTGAGCGCGACGACCTTTTAAGGACCTTATAATTTTATTATTAATTAACGCGTAAGCCCCTCTGAGGGTTTTAACTGAAAAAAAATGCATGTTTTGTCCTTATCTTTGCTTATGGTGTTCTGGTTATGTTGCTTCATTCCCCAATTAATTCATGCTGTTTTGATGGACAAGAATTCTTATCATATCAATTGGAAAGTATCATTGATTAATTATACTGCTATTCTTCATGCCATTATTATATTCAGGTGCTTGTGGTGGAGACATTATTATTTCTTGTAGGTTGATAGATTAAATCTAGATCTTAAAGTCTATCCAAATTTTGGCTTATTTTTTGGGCTTGGCTGCTGGCCTATCATTATATATATTTTCTTTTGCTATTGATCGTAGAAGGGATCAAGTGCATGCTCGTATGTCTTATTTTCTTTATTATCTGTTGCTCTTTGACCATGTAGTGAGCTTAAGATCTCTATAAGGTCATGTAATTTTTTTTTATATTAATGCTGTGTACCTCCGGAAGGACACCACCATACGGGGGAACAATGCTGAGGGTATACGACCTCACCATCTCGAGGAACGAGACGATCACAGGCATCCGCGCTCTTCACAAGCGGGCTAATGGAAGGGTAGATTATATCAAACATATGATTAACCATTGAGGATAACAGCTCTCGCCAACATACCTCGATGGGTAATATGCATAACCTGATCAAAACAACGGGTTTCCCCTACCTGATACATCAGCTCAAGTGGGATTTATTCAATGGTGGAGTTCTGTTTCCTACGGACGCAAGCTCCCATGGTTATTTACTCAGGCAAGAGCCTGAGAATACTCTTGATTAAAAATCTGACATTATTCTTTCCAAAAGGGGATTGGTATAGAGGGGAGACTAGGAAATCCTACTCAGAGGGAAAGAAAGGGTACAACTTGGCTTAGTCAACATGTACGATTCATCTCAGCATCTGTAGGGATTAATATAGTGAGGAGAGACTATAGAAAGGAAACAAATCACTCAAATAATACAGAGAAAAAAGATGGATGTGATGTTATCTATGTGACGTAGATAGGTAGGATTCATAGTCCCTGAAGAAAAAGAGACTTACCCACTGATGAGGTGTACTACATGACACTGAATATAATAGCCTTGAATCCTATATGTAAGGTGAGTTTAGTGTTTTACACCAAACACTAACACCCGTGTCCAAAGCTATGTTTAGAATTTTTTGTGGATGATTTGACCTGTTTAATGATTCTCTAAACTTGTAGACTGTCCATGTATAAATTTGTAGAAGAAATTCCAAGCTCCCAATGTCTAGATGGCTCGCAAATGGCTTTGGAAGGTTTCTTGGCTCGATTAGCCAAAGATCTCACTATCGACGAGGTCTTGGCAGTGGGTTTTGCTTGGGAAAGGTAGAAGTGAGTTTCGGAAGCTCAATAATGAGAGATCTCGGGTTAAGAGGGGCTAGAAAGAGAATAGGATGCAAGGTCCCTTCTAAAGATGCCCTAATCTCTCAGTTTAAAGCTCTAGACTTATCATGGATGGTTGGGATCATATCTAGAGTTAATTAGGAGAGAAATAATTTGAATTGGTCGTGGTTTTCATCAAGGGAAATTAGGAAATAATTTAAGGCATTAATTAGGCTTAATTTGACCTAAATAGATCAAATTGACCAAGGGAGACTTGTTATGACCAAGTCAAAGCTTAACTTGGTCAACTTAGTCAATTAGGTTAGGGAAGATGGGGGTTTCTGCCAAAGAAGGGTTTGGGTTTGAATTGAACTTGGAATGACCCATTTAGGCTAATTAGGTCAACCTAGGTTGATCAGGTCAACTTAGGCTGACCCAAGGCATGAGTTTGGGCCTAATGGGTTTGGTTTGACCCACTGAGTCCAAGGGAGAAGAAGATTGAGTCCAAGAAGTTTTGGATTTGATTTGAAATCAAGTAATGGGGTTTGGGTCAATTTGGGTCAACCCATGTTGATCTAGTCAACCAGGTTGACCCAGGGCCTGGTCTGGGCTTAGCAGACTGGGTTTGACCCAGTGAACACAAGGGAGGCAGTTTTGGGGCCTGGCTTGGTTAGTTTGACCAAGTCAACCCTTGACCCAAAGAGTTGATGAATTCAAGGTCGACATACATGTAGGCCCTCTTATGGGTTTAAAAAAATACTAACTATCTTATATTTATTACATTCAAAGCTTCCCTTATTAGAGAAA